AAATTGCCAGCTGGGGGGGCCGTGGCCCCCCGGCCCCCCCTGCCAGCACGCCACTGTCTTGAACAGCTGACCGTGATCACTGGTATAAGCACACAAGGTCGTGCCGATTCCTGTTGTAATCAGTTTGTCAAAACGGTACATTATTTCATACAGCATGGATGGCGTGGTATTTCAAGCATACAAAGAGCAAAATCAAATTAAGGTTATTAAAGGAAGCAATTATAATTAACATGTGTTTTTCTAATTAAAATGTAATACCGCCTGACGTTTTGCTATACTCGACTCTCTTGACTGGCTAATATATAGACTATATATTATTTTGTTTGCCTTTACATTAATTAGTTCATCCCCATATGTCAACGCCGAAGATTACATAAATTTGTTGTTCTTCAATTACTTTGCGAATGGTATTAAATATAATCTGTGCCAGGCTGTCAACAACAGAGATGGTATACCATATAATGGGGGGCTGAGAAGACATCGCACCTATCTGTAAATTAAACAGCTAATTATGCATGTTTGCATGCGCATTTCTAGGTTTTCAGTGGTAATACAAACAAATTTTTAATGGTACATCACGATTTCTCTTCACCAATCCTTGCTCGATACATTCGCATCCAACCAAAGACTTGGAACGGACACATTTCTTTGAGAATGGAACTTTTTGGATGCTATAAAGGTAATATACCTCTTCATGATTATTTGCGCTTTAGTATATACAGCACATGCATACTCTTCAAGTGTGTTCTTCTTTTCCTGAACTTATGGGTTGGGCCTGCATGTAACTCGAGCTTTTGCATCATTCTCCTTAAGTCAAAATGTCAGATCTCTTCGATAATCTTCTTAATCCATCACTCCTCTCTTGTCTTCCTCTTCACCAATTTCCATCATTTCTTGAACGGTTCTTAGCTAATTTTCTACCATCCATTCTAATAAAATGTGATATATGTATATATATATATATATCTTTGAATAGATTGTGCTAATGATACAAAGGACCTGGGAATGCGTAGTGGTAACATCCAGGTCTCACAAATCACAACTTCGTCGCAATGGGATTCCAACCATGGCCCGAACAACGCTAGATTGTTCTTTACAGCACGAAATGGAAGAACAGGAGCTTGGTCTACAAGACCAAATAATCTTAACCAATGGTTACAGGTCGATTTCAAAGGACAAACTGTTGTGGTTGGTATCAGTACTCAGGGAAGATGCTGGTTCACAGTGGGTCACAACCTACATGTTGTATTACAGCATCAACGGGGTATCATTTTTCCCTTACAAAAATGTTGGCCAAGTCAAGGTAGGTACATTATTAAATATCATAGCAGAGTGGTGTTGGTAGCACAGTGGATCTGCGTTCTATTTATGCATTCTTATTATCAATTCGACTTATTCCTGTGTAAAAGGATCTTTCCAGTTTGAATTTACCAACGCCACAGGTTATACTATATAGGGGAAGTGCATGGGAGTGTCCGATAAACACATTAAGAGATAACCCTTAGCATTTCTAGGCATTCTAAAGACAGCGGTTTCGAAATGATTAGTTATTCAGTATTCATGTGATATCTTTGAAGTAACTATTAAGTGACAACTTTTAAAATTGCGTTTTGGATAAAAGATTGAGTATTCTTATCATCAGTGATATTTAGTAGACATTATTTTGAGAGCGCATGTAGGATACAATACTAATGATACAGACGGTTTAATGTTACTTTAGGTATTCAATGGTAATACAGATAAACATTCTGTAGTTCACAATGCTATTTCACCCGCCATCGTCGCTCGATATATCAGACTTGAACCAAAGTCATGGAATGGACACATTTCTCTTCGTGTTGAATTTTATGGATGTTGAACAATATTCGCAACAGTGAGTGTAATTAGTAATATAATTTCATCTTGATTTTCCCCTATACTTAGCTATTTAAAATTAGGTGGTGTTCTCGAATATTTATATGTTTTCCTCACAATTATGAAGCTGAATATAAAGTGTTTCTTTGTCTTAAAGTACTACGTTCTCAGTCGAAACTCCACAACTTAAAGGGAAACAATATGTTTACTGAACACCAGCACTTAGTAGGTTTAGGCATATTTCCATACCAAATGGCTTGGCGGATATTTGCTAGTGGTGAAACGTGTTTGGGTATAAAATGACCAAACCATAGCTGTCTAAATAGGGATAGTCACATTAGACTTGCAACAAGTCTTCGTCGCTCGCTGTTTGCGTTTCGTTCGAGGTCGACTTGTGGCACGTCTATAGTCACATGTAGGCGCTGCGTACCTATTTTTATATATTCAGCCATATTAAGGCCGTTTTCCACTGGGCGGAATTTTCCGCGCGGAGCGGAATTTCTCTTTGTCAGTTCTAGTTCCACCCGAGAAATCACAAGACAAAGAAAAATTCCGCTCCGCGCGCAAAATTCCGCCTAGTGGAAAACGGCCTTTACATACATGGAAATTTTTATCCAACTTTAAACATGAATTTATTTTCATTCAACAGCTTTTTAAGGCGTTTAGAATACTGGCGCATATACAGGGAGAAAACGTATCCGCATAATTTTATAATATTTTCCCCCCACATTTTTATAAAAGTCATTTGCCTTGTTTATTTTCTAGGAACTTCCACTGGTTATATATAGAAAGGAAAATATATCAATAGTTTCACTGCATCTGCATTGCAGAGTTGCACTGCACCAGTCAATTTAATTATTATGGAATTATTAGACTAGTTCCTATTCTAGCAATTAATACGTAATTTTTTATATTATTCTAATACTGTTATCAGTATTTAGTTGGGTAAAATATATAAGCTATGTAACTTCAGGCTTATTATGACAAATTTGTGATTTACAAATTTAATGATTTTGGGCACAATATATATTAAACTGCAAAGCCAAGGCATATAAAGTTTTCATTTGTGTATTAGCCTAGTATTTTTACTTCTTTTGCATCCTTTTCTCTCCGTAACTCCAACCTCTTCCACAGTTCCAGTATGTTTGAATCATCCATCATAAACATCCTCATCATATCAGTCGGTCTTCTTCTGGATCTTTCCCTCTTACTTCAGTTAATTTTATATCGCTCATTCCAATCAAGTTGCCATTCCATTCTTGCTTTTAACGCTTTATTCCAATTGTCGTTTCGGAGTGATACGTGACATTCTCATATCAGTCCTCTCTAATAACCTCTTTCCTCAGTGCCCACACTTCAGCTTCATGCAGCAGCACGCGAATTTAAAACATTTAGAACAATTTTCAAATATACGAGCCATTTATCAGGCAGAACTAGAGGTTTCGGTTATATTGGTAGAAAGTCCATTTTACTTCATTGATAATTTAAAATAGGTCCAAATTCTGGTACGAATTGAAGTTTCCCACATTTGTCCAAGATAAACATTGAACTGAGAAGATAAATCATTTAGACCGACAGATATAGGTGTACTGGTATATCTTGTCGAGTATATTGGTTATATTTGACTTGATTATATACATGACATTACTGAATTCTGATTGGTTGAGGAGCCTCTAGCTCTGCCTGATAAATGGCTCGTGTATTGTACTACATATAACTGTACTCCAGTACAATATTAAACGAATCAGGGTGAAGCTAGGGCAATGAGCTCCTTATTTATCCGGAGTAAGAACTCGGGTGCCAAAACTAAAGCCAACTGAGACGGAGGAAATTGAAGGGAAATATTGCATGGATGTCAGTCTGAGTCCCTTCAGCTACATTAAATATTCATAATTCCCCGTTGTGTGGCGTGAAACTGTTGTTGTAGGAAGTTAATTCGAGATTTTTGTCTGTCAAATTTTCCTCAGAACGCAGGAAATGCAATTCAGAGAGCTTATATTTCAACCCCCTAGAGATTGTTTAGCCCCCCTCCTAAACCAAAGCCAATTTTCCGCTACCTTATATGCATGATGTCCCCCCGTGTGTGTTATTGCCCTCTAGTTTAGCGGTGTGCCAGCACTACAGTTACTGCATACAATGTTTTGTAGAACATACGATATGATATAAAAATATACTCTGGTTTACAATGGCGAACATCAAATATCTTCAAGGCTCTTCTCAACAAATGTGTCAAAGTTCCTCATTTGTCGCACATAATCTTGTACCATTTCTTGAAATATTTGCGGATATAAATTTTCTAATTTCATTGTTTTCTCGTGGTTGCTAACACATGTTTGTACCAAATTTTTGACGAAATTCTCACAAAACACTTGGCACGATTCAAACTCCTACGAAGAAGAAAAGATAATATCAGGTTCGCTTCACGTGTAATATTTCAAATCCTAAAATCAGGACTGGGGCATGTTCCACATGCGAAGATGTGATAATGAATTAACTTTGATCCGGTCTGATAGGATAATTATTATACTGCGTCACCAGGTACCCAGCGGATAGTATCACCATGCGTGTGACAAAAATGACGCAATGTCGTTTTGCCAAATTCCTATTTTCTCATGTGCTATAAATGAGTAACTATGAGATAAGCATATCCTACACTAAATGGCTGGAAACAGTATGCGTTGCATGTGAAAAGATACTTCTAGTCGAGCGTCCAGTTTGATCCTACCAAACACAACATGCAAGTACACCGGTTTCCTTCCAGAAGAAAATTAGCGATTACCCCTATATATGGGCCAACTTGTAAGGCCACAAAGAAGCATCCGATACAACCTTCATAGTTCATAAGCATACGTTGCGACAGAACGAAACGGGTCGAAATGCAAATAAAATTCTTTCAATCATCATTCGGGTCGCTATTGTTACCGATGTTAAATGATCAAACGATTAAAGAAAACAACGATAAATTATTAATATTTTCATGGATTCGTGCATTAGCAGGTGGTTCTTGATCCCCTCGCGTCATGGTTGTATCTGGTGCTTCCAAACTAGGCACACTCGAGTTGTCGGTTGCTGTCGGATTCGCCGTCCCAATTTCTGCAGGAGAAAATCCGTGATATTCACCCTCGTCATCGCTTTCGCTATTAGGCCGTATTCTGTGGCACGATATCGTTCAGTTCCGTTGCCCGGGTTCGGGCACTACTTGGAAACAAGATAAATAATTAGGATAAATTATAGAAAGTTTAAATCCGCTTGTTTGCACTTCCCAAAACCTGCAGTTTTCGAGTATTTCTTCTTCGAAAATTGAAGAAATCGACATCTTTCGCAATCGATCGCCGCCATTTTTGTTCATGATACTTGGTGTAATAAACACTCTAAATGACGATTTTCGCGGGCTCATGCTCATTCTTACATGAAGTTTCCAGCTTAGCATTTGTAAACATGGCGTCTTCTGATTCATGTTTAATTCATTTTGATGGGAAAAAAGGCCCACTTACAAGTTTTAGTGTGGTTTCGTGTCAAAAAATTTTAGATTGTCGTAGAATTTGGCTAATACTAGATGGGGAAGAACGCAATGTTGCTCAAAGATGTTTGCGGTTTGTTAGCGACAGCATGGAAGTAGCACGGTCGAAAATAAATAAAATATCGATGCAAATTTCTCTTAATATCATCGAGGTTGTTACTCGGCATTCACAAATAGCAGTATGATCAACCGAGCTCAAGAGCGTTGTCAGAATATGGACAAAGAAGGTGTACCTTCATCCTCTGGTCTCCATATTATTGATGAAGAAACGGCATCAGATGAATACGAGTGCGGGCCTGTGCGGCAGCTAAATTATGGAAGGAATCCCCACTTGTTGCCATGCGTTTAGCGTTTGTATAATTTGCTAATCAGAAAAGTCGTATTTCACTGAATCGGTAAGTTTATTGATTTATTTTTTTCACAATTATTGTTATTTTTCTAATATGTGTTTTATAATTTATATATATTGATTGCATTGCCTTTAGCCGCTCGGGCCGTTATAACGGTTGTGTGATTTATATGCATGGGCTTTTTATTGTTTAGAAGTCGAAAAAGCGAAAGCTGGACAAAATTATATCTGTGAAAACAGTAGATGGTGGTAAACTGAAAGAAGCTGCAACAAAGAAAGTTGATGAAAGTATTTTGATTCAAATTGGCATTGAAAGCATCCACGTACAGTATACAAGTGCAAGACTGAAAGAAATG